TCCCCTCATGAGGGGAGGGGGGGGGGGTCACACCCTTGGGGACACTCGGGGACCCCCCCGCCTCAATTTCCTCCCAAATCCTGCCCGGGTACCCCAAAATCCGGGGGGTTCCCCCTGTGCCCCGCCCCCCACCGGGACCCCCGGTGTCCCCCGAAGTTTGGGGAGATTTTTTGGGGACCCCCCCCCATGACCCCGAGAATCGGGGGGGGTTTAATGTCCCCATTTGTGGGGGGCGCTTTTGGGGTCGCCCCTTTTCGGGACCCCCCAAACCTTGGGGACACTTTGGGGACATTTTGGGGACCCTCTGGGCGTTCTGTCCCCCAAAATCCGGGGGGGTTTCACGCCCCAATCACAGCTTTGAGTCCCAAATTTGGGACCCCCTGGGCCGCGTTTTTGGGGACACTTCAGGGACGTTTTGGGGACACCTTGGTGACACTTTAGGGATATTTTGGGGACATTTCAGAGACACTTTGGGGACACCTCTGAACACCCTGTCCCCCAAAACCCGGGGGGTTTCACACCCCAATCCAACTTCGAGTCCCCAATTCGGGACCCCCCGTGTCCCAAACCTTGGTGACACTTCAGGGACGTTTTGGGGACACTTTAGGGACACCTTGGTGACATCCTGTCCCCCAAACCTGGGGGGGTTTCACACCCCAATCCAACTTCGAGTCCCCAATTCGGGACCCCCTGTGTCCCCCCCGTGTCCCAAACCTTGGGGACACCTTGGAGACATTTTAGGGACACCTTGGGGACACTTTAGTGACACTCTGGGGACATTTCAGAGACACTTTGGGGACCCTCTGGGGACACTTTGGGGACACCTGTGAACACCCTGTCCCCCAAAACCCGGGGGGTCTCACACCCCAATCACCGCGGATCCAACTTGAAGTCCCCAATTCGGGACCCCCCGTGTCCCAAACCTTGGGGACATTTTGGGGAGACTTTAGTGACACCTTGGTGACACTTCAGAGACATTTTGGGGACACCTTGGGGACCCTCTGGGGACACTTTAGGGACACCTTGGGGACACCCTGTCCCCCAAAACCCGGGGGGTCTCACACCCCAATCACCGCGGATCCAACTTGAAGTCCCCAATTCGGGACCCCCCATGTCCCCCCCGTGTCCCCCCTTTCCGGGGCTGCCCTGGTGACCCCGGGTGACCCCCGGGTGACCCCTGGTGACCCCCTGGTGACACTTTGGGGTCCCCCCGCAGACGCTGTACACGTACCCCGAGAACTGGCGCGCCTTCAAGGCGCTGATCGCGGCGCAGTACTCGGGCGCGCGCATCCGCGTGCTCTCGGCGCCGCCGCACTTCAGCTTCGGCCACACCAACCGCAGCCCCCAGTTCCTCAAGAAGTTCCCCCTGGGCAAGGTGGGTCCCAAAAAAAACCCAAAAATCCAAAAATTGGGGGAGTGGGGTTTGG